GGAGAACAAAAGATTATTCTTCCTCTCAACGGTTAAGAAAATATGTCTTCGTTATGACAAAAATATTGCAGCCCCTGGCAATAGAACTCCACTTAAAATCTCGGACTGACGAAGTGATAAAGACAGTAAGTAAGGAGACACCAAAATTGAATCCTCGGGATAATCAAGAGGAGAGCGCGGCCCTTACTCAAATTTTGGAGATGACAAACAAATGCAAGACAAGTTTTGTAACCACTTAAGAGGCTGTCCGCGTAAGAACCGATAAGGCAAGTCACGGATTGCCCTGGTTTTCCCAGTGGAAGATAACTATCCTATCCCATGAAGAAATATCATATTTGTTTGGACCAACTCAATTTTTTCTCTATATAACAAGAAGATTTTCTCGGTCACCCAAAACTGGCCATTTTGCCGTCGGAAGTGGTGCGTTTTTGGTGAAACTTTAGGGCTCTGTCAAACCTGCCTTGCAAAGCTGAATAAGCTGATTATTTTACACACAAAAGTTTTAACTCTGGTTGATAGTTTCAAGGTTTAATGGTTGCATCCTGTGATAAGTTGGCTGAGATATCATTTTTTTAAAATGACCTTTAATTTGCTCAGAAGGAAAAGAGCTGAACGGTAATTTCGCAAAAGTGGCACCTGACCCAGACTCAAGTCTATGATAAAACAGAAGTACTAAGACCAGTCTACTTCTTAATGCAATAAAATTTGTGGGCACTCTTCTTTGCGTGCTGTTCAAAGTTCCGTTAATGTTCCTAAATTCGCCATTTTGACAGCAAAGCTGGAATTGTAACGGTCTGCATCGGATCGACTAATTTCCACAGTTTTAACGTTTCTAGTTATCACCAAATGTCGTTAGACCCTTTAACTGTTGGACTTTCGAAAACATGTGAAGAAAACTTGGTAATCGCTTTTTCTTGGTTTTTTTTCTTGTCGACGATGAACATGACTTCATTCTCCGTATGAAAATTAGCCTTAGATGCGTCGTGTCAACAAATTGACAGGAAATATGATACTTGTATTTCATATTTTTAAGGGAAAAATATCTCTTCTTTCCACGGAAAAACACGAACGATATATGACTTAGAATCCCCTCAGGTCTGTTTCTTTTACGAGGAAGAAGCAGCAGAAGAAGATATGCTTACGCGAATTAAAATAATTTAATTACTGTGGCCCGTCACGCATTCCCCCAGTGTGACCATGTATCGATCAGTTCTTTTATCTTATTACATCTTTTTTGAAGTGATAGTTATTGACAATCATACAACTTAATCACTGTTAATTCCGATTCTTTAGTTGGTGGGAAATACCGTGCTGTTGTAATTATTCATTCTAAAACCGTTTTAACTGAGTCAGTATCCCCGGGCGGCCACTGGTGTAATACATGACAATTAGCTATAAAGTAGTCACTTGGACACGGCCACTCTTCCTCACGAGCACTAGCACAATATTTTAAATTACAGAAAGACAATTGATCTTTGGGAAATCGCTCGCAAACAACTTCAGAAATACCGTGCGACACCACAGGACCACACCTGCAAAGTCCTTTAAGCAGCATACACATTTCGTAGATCCCTAGCTAATAGGCTACCCTACAAACTTTACGGTGGTATTGTGCATGTGTTTATCGCTAATTAACAACATTTCAGTAAAAATTAGGAATGGCATGCAGAAAAATGCATGGTTTTTTGTTTAAGGTCCGTCTCCTGTTAAATCCCAAACGTTTTTGCCGGCTGTTAATCACACTAACTTAAGGATCCCTATGTTGTCTATGTTTACTACTGAGCTGATGGAGAAAAGCACGTACACTCATGTATGAAAGACGAAAGTTTGTAACTTAGGTGTTCTTTTCTTTCCCTGCATTTGAATGGTATTTCAAAGTGGCACAAGATTCTTTTATCATTACCCAGGGCTGTAGCTACGGCTCTGTTACTAGTAGGTTGATCTTCCTTTTACATACACATAGGTTGAAAGCTTCTGATTGAGGATGTTGTGGTTTCAATTACTCTTCAGCGATTCCTGCAACAAGATTTTGCCTGCGAACACCTCGTCTTCTTGCAGCAGATCTCTATGGTCAAGTTCAATTTATATTCAAGTTCATTACAGTGGTTATTGTGTCCTTAACCTTATTGTAATTACACTTAGGACTATGTTTAGGTGTTGACTCAAACGGGCCTAAAGTCTAACATGGGCTGGCAATAGGTGAGCACGGAATTGGAACGGGGGTAGGGGGAACTCCCTATGATGGCCTCTACGGGGAGACTCCGCCCGAAAGGAGTATTTTTTTCAGGCTTCAGGTATATGAAAGGGTAGGCATTTCACTAGATGAAGTATATGAAAGGGCGAGTGCGCTTATTGCACGCCTTAGCAGCATCTTTGGTGGTAAAAACTGAACTAAGTTTAAGAATTTAAGGAAAAAGTAGAAGGACTTAATTTTTCAGAAAGTGATATACACAGGCGAAATTTCACCCCTTTAAGTATAATGCTTGTAAAAGTAAAGGTGGAACCGGGGGGAGAGAGGGTGGATGGTAAAGTAGGTTAAAAATAGAGAGATGATAGAAGCACTTTGATGGCGGCACATTGTTCAAGAGGGTATAAATACAAAAAAAAAAAAAAAAAAAAGAAAGAAAGCAATCTGGAGGCATTTTTGAAGACTTAGTGAAAACGTTATCAAAACAAGAAAAACAGAGAAATCTTGTCCAATAAACCTCTCCGACAAAGGTGTGGACATGGTTGCTGACTGATCAATCGTACTCTTCTCGACCCTTTAGCGTCAAGTTTTTTCACGTTTCTTGCGACAGGAGGAGCAAATCGGCTATATAAAGTTGAACTGAACATCCTGGTACTTTTAAGTGTCACTAATTTTTACAAAACCAGAGACATGTTTTAAACACTGTTTAAGTTAAAAAAAATTATTTTCATTGCAAGAATGAAATACTTTTCACACACGTCCCAGGGACATTCCTCTTAGAAAATGACAGGGGCGGGAAAGCCCTGGGGACGAGGTTGAATCTTGGCTCCGCGTAGAAAGTTCTTTCTTTTTCCATTTATAATGCTCTTCAAACAATCATCAGAAAACTATCTTTTAAAACACACGGATTAACCTTCATGTATAGTATTTTAAAGGTAAGAATTGATTAGGGCTAGATACACGGCTGTCAAAAAATAGAAATAAATAAACTATCTTTGCAAGCTCAAATAGACTGGAAACGAACAGAAAACATCGCAAGATAAAAGGTTAAATAGAGAAATTAGAATATCTCTGTACGTTTAGAAATTTTTTGCATGAAGAAGAAAAAAGAATGATACTTACATGATGAAGCAAAACTTTGACTTATTTCGCGGGCTATCTGGAAATTCACGACATGTCTTCCTGCCACAGTAGTTATTTTGCCAGTATGATCCAGAGTATGACCTGGGTATTGACAAGACCTTAGGCTCGATTTCCGCCGTCTCCCGGTCCCTTGGGGGCTCATTTTCCAGCTCAGCGGCTTACAGTCGAGCCTAACAAGACCTTGGCGCTCTCAAAAACCTGCTAAGTAGGTGTCTGTGCCTTGGGCAGATTGTCATTTTAGTGTTAGCCTGTGTACACACCACCTCCCACCCCTTCTCCGATTTTTCCTAAGGGGAGGGGGGTCTGTACACAGGCTATTTAGTGTCTGCGCCTTGGGCAGATTGTCATTTCAGTTCCGAATACCTACCAAACCTCTACTCTCGCTAAAATGAGTTCATTCAGTCATTGACTTTGCTACACTTAGACAAGTGAAAAGGGAAAAGCCCTGGGGACAAGGTTGTCCATACCCCTACTGGGACCACACTCTGTCTTGACGATCTCGCGGAAAGAACAGCTTGATCGTATGACTATAGCCGAATAAGCCATTTTTCACAATTGATCTCTTCGGCGATTTCATTGACATAATTATATTTGAAACTGGCACCTGTTGCATTATAATTCAATTAGATTGAAACCAAAACAAGATCATCTTAGGAATACGGATGTTATACCCTGACAAAAACTAAAAACTGAGATAATCCCTTTTGCGTGTATTCACTGAAAAAAGAAACTATTTTTTCCCGTTCCATTGTGGTACCGATAAACGCTTTAAAGATCTTTGAATGAAACTGAAATTCACAGCTAATTTGCCTTTTGCATAGCTATACAGGGATTTTCTCTTTAAAAAACTGTTAAGATAGAAAAAGTGTTGAGCATTTTTTTTTTTTATCATAGTGCCGTGTACAAAGATCTGATAAGCAGAAAAGAGTGCCCACAAATTTTATTGTGCTGACAAGAGGACTTACCTTGCAAGTTAACTCTTATTTTTTTTATTATTATCAATAACTATGATTTAAAAAAAGATGATAATATAATAAAAATTGATCGATACAACGCTATCGTTTTCTAATCGACCGCCCCTCTTTAGGAATGCGTGACAGGCAACAATAATTGAATTATTTTAAGCCACGCAAACATGTATCATGATATATTATTCAGCTGCTTCTTCCTCGTTAAAAAAAAAAAAAAACAGACCTTAACGGGGATTCTAAGTAATGATTCGTGTTTTTCTGTGGAAAGGAGAGTTATTTTTCAACGTAGAAATGTGAAATGTAAGGATTATGTTTCATGTCAATTTGTTGAGACCAGACTGAGACGAAGCATCTAAGGCTAATTTGCATACGGAGAACGAAGTCACGTTCATCGTCGACAAGAAAAAACCCAAGAAAAAGCGATTACCAAGTTTTCTCCACATGTTTTCGAAAGTCCAACATTTAAAGGGTCTAATGACAGTTAGTGATAGCTAGAAACGTTAAAGCTGTGAAAAATTAGTCGACCAGATGCAGACCGTTACAATTCCGTTACAATTTGTACAGCACGCAAAGAAGAGTGCCCACAAATTTTATTGCATTAAGATGTAGACTGGTCTTAGTACTTCTGTTTTATAATAGACTTGAGTCTGGGTCAGGTGCCACTTTTGCGAAATTACCGTTCAGCTCTAGTTACGCAAATTAATTTTCCCGACAAGCAAATTAAAGATCATTTTAAAAAAATTATATCTCAGCCAACTTTCCACAGAATGCAACCACTAAATCTTGAAACTATTAATAAGAGTTAAAACTGTTGTGTGTAAAATAATCAGCTTATTCGGCTTTGTAAGGTAGGTTTGCAAGGGCCCTAAAGTTTCACCAAAATCGCACCACTTCCGACGGCAAACTGGCTAGTTTTAGGTGACCTAGAAAATCTTTCTGTAAAATAGAGAAAAAATTGAGTTGGTGCAAATAAATGTGATATTTCTTCATGGAATAGGATAGTTATCTTCCACTGAAAAAATCAGGGCAATCCGTGATAGACCAAAATTTGCCTTATCGGTTCTTACGCGGACAGCCTCTTAAAAGCACCGGGCAAGCTTTATACAGAAGCCAAAGTACGCCTTTCACTGAAATATTTAAACCAAGTTTGCCTGGAAAGAATTTGTAACGTCCTAGATTATCTCGAGGACCAAGGTTGGGCTGATGGAAGTGCATCGGGTTCTTTATACATGGAAAATCTTTGAAACAGCGCCGGATTTATGCAAAGTCTTTTTCTTTTGAAAGACGCTTTTGCAAAAAATGAAACATAAAAACAGATTACAAAACTTAACAAAAACCGCCAAATGGTACCATGACTTTGGAGAAGCATATCAATCATCCTTTGAGTATAATGCAACTACAGCGGACTTTATATTAACAAGGATGTTATATAGACTTATTATTGTCTTAGTTATGGCAAGTAAGACAAGTGAAGAAAAGAAGGCAAAACAACGAGATATGGACGCTTTAGTAACATGGATAGAAAATGTATTGACCATCAACAAGGCTTTAGGTGGCGTATACAAACCCGATTTCACCGGCCTCCACCACATGGCATTTTATGCGTCTGCGTACATACCTGGCGCATTGCACACCGCGGCACAAGTACAATATCTCTTAGAGGGAACGGACTTTGAATTATCACAAACCGCTTTACAGGAAGCTCTTAAAATTCTACGAGTAACAGCTGTAAAATAGTCAACTCCAAGTAGTGTGGGACGACGCCGTCCGGACTATTCTAAGGTAACTCTGTTGAGAAATCTCCCAGCCTACACCCACATAGCAGTAGCTCATCCAGGTGTGCTACCCTCAAAGCCCTTGAAGGGTACATACATTTCTGATTTCACAACAATGCAGCAATCTTTGAACGTTTATATCAACCGTCAAATGATATTGTCGCTAAAGAGTTGAAATATGGTCATATTAAAGCAGGCAAGTCATATTTCCAACACGCTTGGTTCTCTGCAAGTAATGATTAAGGTAAGAGTGTAGGTAATTAGGACTAAAAAATTGGAAATGCATCGACTGTAAATTCACTGCGTACATTCCTCGTAATCCTTAAAATGCGTAATATGATCAGCAGTGGATTCCAATTGGAGTTCCCGTATCGAAATTCTGGCTTACTTTTAACGTGAAATTAAAAATAAGTATCCAGTGCAGTTTTGTTAGTAAGATTTCAACTTTGTGTTTCGTTTCTTCCGCAAAGTTCAAGTCAGATTTAACAAGCTATCACATGACCGAAAGTAAGGGTTACCCTCCCTTCTTTTATGCAGGCCTTTATTTACCCTGTTCTGCCTCGCAAATTTCAAGTGGCCTACAAAGAAAGTCACCCATACGCAAAAAGAGCCGGAATTGTGTACAAAATTTCAAATAAGTTACACCTTTAGTTATTCTTTCCAGTGGCATATCGCTTCTAGCAACTCCTCAAAATTATGATGTGTATTTTGAGTATTAGTATACGTACGCAGCACTGTTAGCTCAGTTGGAAGAGCACCGGTCTGCCGAGCGGAAGCTCGGAGCAACAACCAACAGCTGGGGTCTTTAACAACTGGTGGAATCATGCTGGCTGTGATCAGAGGTCTTGTCTCAGTTGAGATGATTGTGTCATTGGGCGGTTTCGTTAAGCTGTTGGCCTTGTCTCCATCCTTCATTCTTTTCTTTCTTCATTAGTCAAATCGAAGGCTTTGATTGATTGTGCTTGCAAAAGTAGCAATTAATATGCTACTAGCAGTGCTCGTATATTTCTAAAATTATGCCAATAATTATGCTTATTTTAGCAAAACATGCAGAAATTATGTTTCCACATCTATAACTACGGAACAAACAAGCAAATGACAAACCCATTTATCCTACTACGTCCAGAAACATTTAAGGGGTTTATTATCAGGTTTAGGCGAAGCCGAGAGTTTTTAAACCTGAAAATACACGACTGTGAGTTTTTTGAACGGCTACGAAATCTCTGATATCGATGAACTCGTTCATACTCTAATATTTTGATTTGGAGCTAGCCAGTTATGCGCTTGCGTTGCGTCCTGTGGAAAGAGTCCTTGGTCACTTCCTACGGCACCCAGGTCCCATAATCGTTAAAATAAGCAGCCAAAAAATTGATTTTGTTGCTTAAATTCGCCAGTAACACTTATCTCGGGCCAAAATAATTGGTTGCATGATCAATAAATGACAAATTTGTACAGCGAAACTAGCCAAACGTGCATATTATGCTGGCACTACTATTTTTCGGAAAATACGTGAAAATCGCGTTCGTAATGACGGATTCTGGAAAACAGTATGTTTCCACAATTTATCAAAGTCTAATAGGGCACGTAAAAGAACCGACACTATTGTTCGAATAGAGTATGGGAGGTTTCTCCTGTGAATGGTCTACCTTTCACACATCACGCATCATTCATATCATGGACTATGAGTGGGTTACAGTAAGCACATAATGGACTGATAGCGGCTGGCACTGGCGCCATTGTATGCTGAAGTCCGAGTTGTTGTTAACATGTTAATTTATAATACAAAGAAGCCAAAAAAGCTCCCACCAAGCTTAGACTTGACACTTACGGATCGATGGGCGAGGATATTGCGTCAAAAATTTAAATTTTCACTCTTTTGAAGTGACACAAATGAACACCATGCTCTCATTCTTTTATATTTTCTTTTATATTTCTCTGCAGGTGAACGCGAAGGCCCTGTCAAAGAACTTGGCTGCTGAAAAATCCCCAGAAGGTTACTGGTCAAAGAACTTTGCTGCCCTCTCTATTCACCGGCGAGAAGACTGGGCTGTGACAGTGAAGGGCTTTAACAAGTTCGTCTGGGACTTCGAGAAAACGACTACTGAAAATCCCAACGGTATCTTTGCAAGTCACGGCTCGATGGTAATAGCTAACAGCGAGGAAGCGTCGAAGGCCCATGACGTAGACGCAAGCTGGGATTGGATTAGAATTCCTGGAACAACTACCATGTCTATAACCCTCAACGAGGCAAAACTGGTTGTCAATAGAAACTAGAGCCCACAGTCGTCTGCTGGAGGCGTTATCTTCCTGGGTACAGAAACTTTGTCCAATGGCGTGTTTGGCATGAATTTCGATCAGCCCGATTACGAGTCCGAAGATAGTAATCATTCCTTTCCAAGTGTAAAACTACGCTTTAAGAAGTCCGTTTTCTTTCATAAAAACTTGTTAGTTTGCTTGGGAAGTACCATAAAACTGACCAATGGACCTGGATTTAAAGCACAAACAACTCTTTTTCAAGACAAACTTAACAGAAGCTCCACAGCGTTCTCCATTAAGGTGGATGGTGTCAGTAAAGGAATGACTAGTCCCTTCTTAGCTATGACACCAAACAATCCAAGTAAAGGAGCATCGCCTTCCATTTTGCTCGACACGAAAGGCAACAGTTACTACATTCCACTCTCGTCTGCACCTCATGTTAAGATTCACATCCAAAACCAGACGTCAGAAAATCAAAAGGGTAACCCGTCGACTGGGTACTACGCCACTGCGTGGCTTGAGCACAGCTCCATGGATGCAAGCTACGAGTACGCAATTTACGTAAATACACCATCATATCCACACACTGCACAAGACGCTTGGCCTCTGCAAGAAGATCAGAAAAAGCTCTATCAGGTGCTTAAACAGGATCACATAGCCCATGTTGTGAGATTTCTTTCAGCACCCGACAGTTTGACAGCGATAAATCCTCGGTATGGTTACGTCATTTTTCAGCCCATCACTACCCTTAAGTGGGGACCAATTAAGGAGGTGAATAAGAGGTGTCTTATCATGGCCAGTGAATCACAGACGGAGCTCTACATCAGTATCAGCTTCCCGGAACTGGAATTTGACACAAAAGCAGTGTTAGATACGCAAAGCGATGTGGGACCCAGAGAACGGTTCCGTATGGAAAGCAAAGAGAACGAAGTCCAAGTCACCCTAACAGCTGACGTAGACATCACTATCCCGTCGGTTTTTGTACATGAATCACCAGCTGACTACGAACCAGTTGTCCGAGTAAATTCCTCGTCCGCATCTCCAAACAGGGGCAACAAAATTATTTTCACAAACCTTAAAAATGGGTTCAACATTGAAATCAAATTATATAAATAGAGTTTATCCTTCCACAGCAAGTTTTTGTACTGTCATATCTATTGGGTATTAAACTATACTAAGCTCAAATAATTTACACGACATTCATTTTGGGTCCGGCAATCCTAAATTTTGGCACGCGAGCCGTAAATCTAAGGCACGGCCTGCGTCATTTACAAAACAAATATAAGTTCGATTTGTTTCAATGTTAGTTTCGGGCAGGCACCCTGAACTAGGAAAGGCACTCTTAACATATTGAGTCACCGGGCATTTTTACAACCGTTCGCTAGGCCTTGACATAAAATTCCGGCCAAAAGTCACCCGCACTCAACCATCAGCCGGATTTTTTCGCGAGTTGTACAAAACGTTGAAGTCCCAGAAATAAAGAATGGCGGATACACGAGTACAAAAGGCGATTTTATGGGTTTTAAGCTCACGAAAAAGAAAATGAAAGGAAGGACACGAAACAAGGTAATCATCTAAACACTTTTTTAAGGTACTTAAACGGCCACAATAACGCCTTTTGAAGGCTATTTTGAGCCTCTTAAATCCTCCGCGACTGAGAGAGGTTTTGGCTCATCCTCGCTCAGTTTTGCGCTGTTTGACATGGTTGAAGCAAGATTTACTCATAGTGCTCAAACTTCAGAGGAACCCGTGGAACTTTTTGAATATATTGAGCAGGAAATTTCCAAAGATATTACTCGTCAGGATACACCGATGAGAGAGGCTGATACTCCAAATCGTCGACTAGCGATAACACTGTATTATCTGGCTTCTACATCCGAATATAGAACTACTGCAAACGCATTTGGGGTGACTACTCGTTTGTATGTACTTGTATCAAGGACGTGTGTAACGCTATAACGTAAAGAGTGGCGGCAGTGATTTCCTATCGGTGACCGAATGCCTCGCAAAATCTCTTTTCGGCACGTGGGCCACTTTTTATTAAGCGGGGCAGGACCACCTCCCGAGGTGGTCCTGGCCTACCTGATTTTTTCACACCGCGCGCCAAAAAATTTGCATTTACACGGCAAAAAATCAGGCGGGCCGTGCAAAAAGAAACGGCCCGCGTGCCCATTTTTAGGAATACCAGACCCAAAACCAAGGTCATGTAAATGGGGCTTTAGTTTCTTGTTGTTGGGAATCTGTTATGTTTATTTGCTGTATTTAGCTGAAAAGAGCGTGCGAGCTGTTAATGTCGTATCGTTTGCTAAAATATCTGCAGTAGATCTCGTTGGTTTTGAAGGAATACCTTTGACAAATAGCAGAAAAAAGACAGGTCCTAATACAGAACCCTAAGGCAAGCCTTTTTTAGTTCGAGGATCTGACTTTTGGGCATTCAGTAGTATAGGAGTTGGGGGTACGGGGACATTTTCCATTTATTTACTTCTCAAACCGACGAACTCAGTTATTGGCACACCGGCAGCTTCACATTTAAACTTGCCTATGACTTTCTTATTCGTTGGGTCATACTAGTGACTGTCCTTGTGATAAATAAAAATTATTCCTCGAGCCCGAATAGGCTTTGAGTCCATAGCCCCACTAGTTGGATGTTAATAATCACTGTTATCAAATTTATCTTTGTCAGTCTAAAAATCTTTATAGACATTTTTGCCTCAATCTCATACGTTAGTGAATCTGTATCAGTGAATAGTAGTTTCGCTTTGCTTCTGTATTTGATATAATTATAGTGGAAGTCACACATCAGTGTCTTGGATAGATCTAGAAAACTTAGTGGACGGAAGGATCTAGGCAGTAAGATATTGAAGTTCGTTTTGAAATTTAGTTCCCTTACACAGTTCGGTCACTGATGAACTTCGGTTTTTACTAAATTTAATCTAAGATTATTAACTGAAAAGGTCTTTAGTCTCTTCTCTGAGCAGAACTGAAAATAGGAGTCAAGCGAGCAATTATAGTGACCACACTTGAGTTTCTAAAATGTTACAAGGTCTTTGACTTCTCTAAGGTACATTAGTGGAAGTAGATGTTATCGTTTGAGCATAGCTCGGGCAGGAGAACCCTTGTCGCTCGTCGTTGGAATCATTTCACTAGCTTTATCACAGATAGACCTCGGGCTGCAGATTTCAAAGGCATCATCAAGATAAGAACGCAAAGGGCCATATAGAGAGATCGTAATGTTGGTAAATATTCAGTGCTCGCTTATGCTGAGGGTACGATGAATGAATCCTAGCACCTGAGCATAAATGTGTTCATTAAATCAAGCGTTACAAGTAATAAGAACACCAAGGTCACGCTGATTGTCAACCCTCATCAAGTTTTTAATTCCCATGGTATAATCATATGTAATTGGTTCGCGTTGCCTTGTTACCGAGCATAACGAGCATTTGTCTGTGTTAAAGTCCAGCTTCCATTCATAACTCCATTCAACTAGATCATCAATATCACTTTGTAATGATTCACAGTCACTGATGAACTGATTACAATGATCGATTCTATGACTGTTTTTGTATTCCTTACTATATTCTTAAGAGTAACGCAAAGAAAAAAGCAACTTTGGTTCGTAAGTGCTACATTAGAAATCATACAAACTAAATAACTGTACCAAATGGTGCATGATACAAATCAAAGTTAACAAGCAAGCCTTTTGATCACTCACCTCAATGCGTCTTATTGTATCTTTTTAATCGCTGAAAAGCTCTTCCGAAGAATTTCCAATAAAGTTTATTGTCACTGCTACTGTTATTGTTAAAAGAAAAACCTTGATGTTATCGCAACAGAATCTGCGAGAAAATCCTCCACAATTTTCCAACTAATACAACCACTTATAAACTGAAGAGCCAGGGTTTAGGATTTATGGATCAAGTACAATTTTGGTTCGTTGGCCGGAAATCTGGTTTAAAGCAGACCACCAGGTGATCACCTTTGGATGTTCGCAGGAGTCACTGTTTAAAATGACAGGACTGAAAGGTATCAGAACTCTGTCGGTCAATATCCAGTGACATGACGAAAACTCCCACAAACCGCTGCAAATAAGTTGCTACAGACGTGTAGGCTTGGTTGTAAGTCAGTTACAATCTGTGTTCATTGTCGGAACGATGGCGCGGGGAAAAAGGCACCTGAAAATCACTGCTTGAGATGTTTAGTAGCTACTGTTAAAAGTGACGTGACTTCCACGTCAGAACTCTCTTGATCAATATCTAGTGGCACAATGAGCTTGCCCTCAGACCCTGAAAATAATTCATAAAACAAGTGTAGTCTTTATTTTTTAATCAGCTGCACCTTTGTTCATGCCCGAACAATGGTGTGGGGAAAGACACTCGATTATCACTGAGTTATACTGGCAGTAGCTACTGTTGAAATGAATGGGTTGGCAGGTGTCAGGATTCGTCTGTCAATAGAGTGACACGGTGACGACACCCAGAGACCGCTGGAAAGAATTATAATACACCTGTACAGGCGTAGTACTTGGGTCATTGGTCAGTCAACGTTGTAAAAACGAAAATAGCGAGCATTTCTGACGATATCGGTGACATTACGGCTGCCTTATTGTACTAGCTGCGCAAATCAGACAAGGCTTTCAACTCAGCTCATCATCACTAAGCCACACAAAATTGATTTCCGACAGCATCAACAATTGGAGCAAAATCCAACTAAATCTAGAGGAGAAAGCCCGTCCAGAAATGATAAAACTATTGAAAACCCAACATCATTGAACAAGGTGTCACCCAGTGGTTCTTCGCGTTGTGTTTTGTATAGCCTTGGCAGGTTCATAAAGCCGGCTGCCCCTACTGCCCCATTGTCTCATCTGTTACCTACAACTACAACCTGCTGTAGCTTCTTACCTTTCGACTTTATTTATTATTCAGCTCGAAGATATTTAGCTTGTTGGCTACTCTAAACTTCGAGTATACAGGGTGTCTCAAAAGTTCGTTCCTCTAATTTCACGCACTATAATTTTTGATCAAAACTTTAATTTTTACATCAAATTTCTAGAAGATGTTTATCTCTCTATCGAGTGCATGTATTGAGAATTTCAGTAATGGCATGCCCTTTTTGTGTTTTTTTTTATCACATTCTGTAGCCGTTGCGGCATGAAGTGGGATTGTGTGTAGACTCACAGATGATCCATTTTGAGCTTTTTTATCACCTGCTGCGTATGCAGCCAGTTCAGCCCCCAAACAATATTTATTTAGTTTAGGCAGCTGAAAAAAAAATATTTTGGGCATTCATCCAAAAAGGATAATCATCCCAGCCCCCTTCCACAGCAAGGCTTTTGTACTTCTTTACAAATTTGAGACGAGCTAGGCGTTACTTAGCAGATTAAGCAGAGGTTTTTTTTGCCATCTCAGGGGCCTCTAATTTTTAATTAGTAATTTTAAACATTTTAAACAGCTTTTCATGATCCTTTCTAGACTTTGCATGCTAACTATGTGAGAGCTTCCTCGTCGAGTCTCCTATTATGTATCCAGCCTTCTTTAAAACTGTTTTAGCTGCTTTATTCAGGACGTTTGGTCTTCTCCTTCGTTTCTTGCCTTTAAAAGCTTCATTTCTCCATGATCATTTAATCACGCAACATTCGGATTTTTCCAGTATTTTAGCAGTTTCTTCAACAGATAAGCCAATAAATCGAAGTATACATGCTTATGCTCCCACGTGGCGGAACGTTTTTGCGTTAAGGGGGTTTATCTTTCGTGATATTCACAAAAAACAACGAAGGAGTTCGAGCAATTCGGGCTATAGAATACAAAAAAATGTGGCTGGAAAATATACTCTCGCACGCGCACCTTTGGTGCGGAAGTACGCAAATCGAATATTTGAGTCAAAAGATAGCACAACAAGGATGAAAATAGTGAATTAGTTTGAAAGGCACAACTTTTGTTTAGATGATTTGCTTACCAAGTCCAATCGTACTGAAATACAGACTTATAACGTAGAGGAACTTTTGGGACACCCTGTATCTAAAGTTTATGTTATGTTGTGTTATGTTGTTTATAATAACGTCTGGGCGGTTTACAAACTGAAATCGACATATTATAGCTAACTACGAAACAAATGTTTGCAGTTCTCTAAAATATCATATATTACATAAACCTTACGTGACTGACACTACCTGCATATAGCACAGGCTAATCGCTGCGGCCAGTGACCACAATTTAGAAGGCCTAGAATAAGTTAAAAGGCAACCTCGTTGGCTTACTTCAACCAATTTCCACCAACCAACGCAATGTTAAGACCCCCTTAGTTTTGCAGACCGGGCCAAAAAGTGCAAACATAGGAATGGTATCAAGCGCTCTTTGCATGTCTGGTAATTATTTACAAATGCGCAACTTGATCAAACACTACGGTTCTGTCTTGAAAAACTGTATTCTTCTTCTGATCCTCTGATATTACCTCGTGCTGTTTTACAGAAGTTGTTAGAATTTGCACCAAGAAAAGCTATTTTTTATGGCAAATACCGTAAATCCTCTATTAAGCCCCCCTGTCCAATAAGCCCCCCCTTTTCAGAGGAGGAAAGTTAAGAAGCCCCTCCTCTCTATTAAGCCCCCCCCCCTCAGCAACAGATTCAGACGACTCGCAACAGTAGAGCTGGACAAAGGATATTCCCTGAACTCTTGTCATTTTAAATTACAGCTTGGGTATATCGTACTACGATCAGCGAGGACCAGCAGATGCAAAATGATCTTTTGTCGCACACCGTGTATTTGTTCGAAGCTGTAAGATATGCTGTCATCAAGAACATTCCTTTTGCATCACATCACTGTGAGCGGTTTATAGCGGCACAACTCGCCAAGTGTGTTCAATAACTGTTGCTTTATTCTTAGAGTTTTGTTCTTGGTTCCCTGAGAGTAAATGCATTTATTGTAGCATTTATTTTTTATGATGAAGGAGTCTGAGTTAACATCATCTTCCCACAAAGGTGAGAAGGTGCGTTCGTATTCAATTGATTTCAAGTTGGAAGTCATCCGCTATGCTGAAACGAACTCAAATCACGCTGCCTCGAAAAAAAATAAAAATTGATCGAAACAGCATTCGTGACTGGAGGAAAAAGCGAGACAAAATAGAAGAATTAAAGGTTGAGAGGTCTGGTGGTGCTAAACGGCAACGGCTAGATGGAGGTGGAAGACATCTTACCTCTGAAGAAAAAGAAGAAAATTTGTTGGAGTGGATATTTGACAGACGCAGTAAAGGTCTCCGTGTCTCAAGAAAAATTATCATGGTCAAAGCTGCAAAGTTCCAGGAAGAAAAGGAGAAAGAAGATCCGAACATTACCAAATTGACATTTAGCCAAGGCTGGCTTGAGTAGTTCATGAATAGAAATGGACTGAGTGTGAGGCGTCGCACAACTGAAGCCCAGAAAAGCCCAGATCAACTGATTGACAAGCTCTGTGCTTATATCCTGAAGATAAGACGACTCCGTATGAAGATCAACTATAAGTTAAAAAATATTTTTGCCATGGATGAGACAGCCGTGTGGAATGACATGATATCTAACACAACAGTGGAGAAACGTGGTGCTCACTCAGTAAATCTGAAGTCTACTGGTCGTGAGAAGTCCAAAATAACAGTTTGCTTAACTGCAACGGCTGACGGTGGAAAAAAAGCCTTTCCTTGTGTTTAAGGGAGCCAAGCGTGACATGAAAAGGCTAATCGAAGAATATCAAAGCAAGTGTATTGTAGCTAGCAGTGACAGTGGATGGATGGATGAAGCCTTGACTGAACAGTATTGCCGTGAAGTTATAGGAACGTTTTCTTTTGGCGCACGTCGCTTGTTAGCATGGGACGCATTTAGATGTCACCTAACATCTCGAGTTAATGATATTCTCAACAGAGCTAAAGTTGATTCTGTAATTTTACCTGGTGGCTGCACAAAGTTTATCCAGGCTCCCGATGTAGGTTGGAATAAGCCCATGAAAGAATATTTAAGACAGACATATGACAATTGCTTGGCGGAAAGCGAACACCAAATGACAGCGCATGGAAATATGAAAGGGCCATCACGGCAGCAAATGATTGAATGGGTATTAGAAGCCCGGAAAAAGTTACCCGCAGAGGTAATTAAAAAGTCATTTAAGGTGTGCGCATTATCGTCTAACCTTGATGGGTCGGAGGATGATCAAATAACGTGTATCAAGCATGGTCCATGCCAAAGTCTGTTACCTAGATTGCAAGCGTTTCACCAAGAGGAGGAAGAGACCGATCCTTTCGAGTGCACTACTGTTTCAGGAGAAGAGATAGCTCAAGAAGATGTCGCACACCTTATTTTGGATGAGCATGATGAGGATGAAATCCTTGACATTGACATTGAATCTTGACCATAAAGTTTCTAACTTTGCAATTTCACTTTCCGCTGTTTTGTTGAGGTCATCATTTTACGGAATACCGTAGAATTATAGTATCATAAATGTCAAGGCTGTTTATAATAAAACATTTAAATGTAAGACATAAAAAATGTAAATATAACAGGAGTTTTCCAGACATTTTCGTTTGTACGTTGTGTACGACAAATCAATACAAGTAACCATTCTCAAAAAAATTACCGACGAACATGAGGCCGAAAGCACATTTTTGAAGAATAAGAATCTTATTTTTGTTACTTTTAGGCTCCCACAAGTGAATGAAATACTTTTGACAGTGACTTTAATTGTGCAACGCGTAAGTCTACTCTGTCTCATACCACGGTATTTTTGCTACAGGTGATGCGTTTCGCTAAATTAATTAAGCCCCCCCCCCCCCAAAAAAAGTACTTGAAAAAAATAAGCCCCTCGGGGGTCTTGATAGAGGATTTACGGTACTATAATAAAAGTGATGGCTTAGCCATGGGTTTCCCCAATTAGGCCTAGTGTTAGCATTTTTGCGTCACTTTGGGAAAAGATAGGTAGTGAGCGGTAAAGTTTGTCCTTCACTTTGGTTTCAGTATGTTGATTTCACTTCCACAATGTTTAACAACAATGAGTTCTGCAGTATTTTTACGTAGCAGTATCAGAGTTACTATTGAATTGGAAGACGACAATGAGCTTCCATTCTTAGAAATCCCAGTAAAACGCGGCCCAATTACACATTCGTGACATCCATCAACCGGAAGAAAACATTCATAGGACTTTATACCAAATGGCGGTCATTCAATCCTCGCAAGTATAAAACAAGTCTCATTCGCACATTAACTTGTCGTTGCTACGAACTTGCTCCTCTTCCTTGCTGCAATCTGTCCTGGATGACCGTAGAAAGCTATTACTTCAAAATGGTTATCTTCAAGGGATAATTAACCACCACGTTAATGATAATTTAAACCGACACAGAAACAAGCAAGGCAGCCTTGTACGCATGCTTTATAGGACACACTTGTTTTCATTTTTCATCCCCTCTTTGGTTTATTAATCCTTGAATGATCTTTAACAATACCTTGATATACGTTTGCAAAATGGATTTACCAACGATCTTTTATTTCTATCACACTTATATTAATACTCATAGAAAGTTCTGTTTGCTTTTGAAAAAAATCAAATAGAATTTCGACGAGCCATGTTTCACTCGTGAAAAAAGGATCAAACAATAGATCTCTTTACAAGTTTGTATTGTCCTTGCCCGACATCCACCAGGAGGCTTTCTTGCCGCAAAGAAATGTTATATTGTCTACTTTCTAGAAGCCTACTCACTACTTTCCAAACAATCAAGTGATGTTTATTGTCTTAAATGAATCTGTTACCACACTTGAAATCCCCTTCAAACCGCTTCAATGTTACTTCTACGCTGATACCATTCTTGAGATTACTGAAGACAATTTCGTTGCCCTTAGGAGAGGAGGAATGTGAAGAAACTACGCGAACATTAGGTGCGTATTCAGTTGGTGATCCATGAACGATTGTCTTGGAAATATTCTTATCCACATCAGCTGTTAGGGTGACTCGTACCTCGTTTTCAGTGCTTTCCAACTGCTCCCATTCGTCCACATCGCCTGACGTATTAAACACTTCGGAGGAATTAAAGTCCAGGTCAGGGTAGCTGATACTGAGGAACATATCTTCCGGAGTAACGTCTACCATAACGAGACACTTCTTATCCACTCTCTCTACCGGTCCATCACGAAGTGTTATGTTGGGCTCATAAATGACGTAACCGAACAAGGGCCCATGTCTCACTGCCCTGAGTTCCAAATTCGCACAGAATTTTACCACATGAGCCTCGCAATCCTTTTTCAAAACTTCGTATATTTTTGTCACCTTATTATGTTGATGCGGTTGGCGAATCCAGGATTCGTTTGCAGTGAGGTTATATGTCGGTGTGTTTACCCAAACTGCATACTCGTAATCCTCATGACCCGGACTGTGCTCAAGCCAGGCGGTACCATAGTAACCGTGGGATACTTTATTTGATGGCGTCTTTGAGGTTTGATTTTGAACGTGAATCTTGAGACTTGAGGCACTTGAACTTGGAATAAAATAGCTGTTGCCTTTGGTGTCCAGTAGGATTGTGTGCGGCTCTGCTCCACTTTGAGAAGATGGTGTCATTGATGGAAATGGAGCTGAACTGTCTTTCACGAGACCATCAACTTTAATGTGGAAATTCGTAGAACCTCTGACCAGTTTGTCTTGAAAAAGTGTTGTCTGCGGGATTTTTCTGCTCCTGATTAGAGAAATGTTGCTGCCAAGACAGACCAACAAATTTTGATAAAAGAAAACAGACTTCTTAAAGTACAGTGTGCTGTTTTGGTGACTATGATTATACAAGAACTCATATTTTGGTTGAACGAAGTCCATTCCAAAGACTCCATTGGAATGAATTTCTACTCCTTTTATGGTAACTCCTCCTGCAGACGACAATGGACTGAAATTCCTTCTTTCCTCCAACCTTGTTTCTTTGAGGGTCAATGGCATCGTAGTCGCCCCGGGGATTCTAGTCCAGTCCCATCCCGTACTCACATCATGCGCCTTCAGTTCCGCTTCACTGTTAGCTATTAGCATGGAACCATAACTAGTGAAGATACCGTACGGGTTCTCCGGGGGGCTCTTATTTTTAGAACATTCAAAGTCCCAAACAAACCTGTTGAAGCCTTTCACTGTGACAGCCCAGTTTTTCCGACGATGAATTGAGAGGGCTCCAAAGTTTTTAGACCAATGACCTTCTGGGGAAGGTTCAGCAGACATGTTCGCCAATTGTGCTTTTTCAAATACCTGTTAATAATATAAAGAGAAGAAAAACAAAAGTGACGTTTTTAGGCTCCTGAGCTTACGCGCGACCGACCTTTTTTCTATAATATACGGATTCTTCCAGGCAGATAAAAATAACAATTAATTTTTTCTAGCCTCCCACGCAGGCGTTTCAGGAGAGCTCGTATTTCTTTCCTCCCCACAAACGTCCGCTCATCCGAGAACAACATTTCTTTCCCAAGCTTAGCCAATCACATTGTACCTTCCAAATTCTGGAAGTTTGACCTTGACCGCAGGGTAACCCGATAATTACTCCACCTGCATGAAACACTAGGAAAGCTTTATGAACTGTAATAAATCTTAGACTCAGAACAGCAAAAGCAAGATTTAGTCTGATTGCACTGCAAAACCTTAGCGAAGGAAAGAAGAGCAAGAAAAAGGTCACTCTAGGGTCATGTTTTTACAACACCACTACGAGCTTATGAGTCGTGTTTAGCTTGTCAACACTTTATTTCAAAACTGTTGATTGGTCACTTGCCACGTGACGCCTGCGTGGGAAGCCATTTTTCCCCGCCCAATTTAAGTTTTTCTTGTGTTATACACGAAACCAAAATAAACCACGCTCAGTGAACCTTAGCAAGCCTGTTTTTGCCAAAATTATTTTTCCAGTTGGCTCCATGTTTTAAGCAGCTTTTAATGCTGTTTAGACTGGTCACAACCTTCCGGCCTCAATTCGTGATTGGGTGCGCGTCGAGTTGTGCTTCAGAACCAAACCGAAATATTAGATAATAGAGGCCAGACTGGGAACGGCTTGGTGCTGTTTTGTACTGATCTAGTTTTTGTTTTTGCTGCACCGAGTTGTGTCAAAAAATTAACAGCAAACTCACATCGTCCTTTCCGGCTTCAAAATTGTTCACATTCTTTTTTTCTTTTCTTTTTTTGGACTTAGCGATTGTTGCTCGCTAATAAATAAACCAAAAATAGCATCTTAATTAATATCTTACTTTCTCCATTATCTCGAGAGACCCCAGGCTGTTCATGTACGCTTTTTCCTGTTTGATCTCTCCTGATTTCATGTATTTAGTAACCTTGTGGTACGAAGTGTTAAACAAACGTAAAAATATTTTCGCATCTTCAGTCACTTTCATTATGGCTATCCCTTTCACTGGTGCCGATTTTAAAGTTCCTGGGTTCGATACGCTGATATATGCAAACGCAGGAAGAATTTTTATCAGGACTGCCTTGGAATAATCGGGAAAACGTCCGCCTATGCTGCTTGGGGTGGAGTATTTCACAGCCATTATCCTGAGAGTTTTAAGACCTTCTTTTAAATTGCGTTTTGCCGCGTCAGCCAGTTCAAAGACAGTTCCCTCTAAAAGATATTGCACGAGTGCAGCTGTATGCAACGCCTGTGGGACGTAGGCAGATCCGTAGATTCCTTTGTGATGAAAACCAGTGTAATCAGGTTTGAGGACCCCTCCGAACGCTGTATTTATCAACAAAGCATTATCTATCCATCTCTTTAACGCTTCCATGTCCTGTTGTCTTGCTTTTTTTTCGGCATTTGTATCAGTAGGCATTATTAGAACAATCATAAGCCGAAAGAGCATTACGGTGATCATTTTGTCGGCATTTGTTCCTCTATACTCGAAGTGTTGTTGATAGACCTCCCCAAATTCATTGTACCATTTCGAAGTCTTCACTAAGTTCTGTAATCTTGTCTTGTTATTTTTATGCAAAGTGTCTTTAAGCAGAAACAGACTGTTCATGTATCCAGCAAAAGCACGGTTCATCTCTTTTTCCAGAGAACCTAGCGCACTTCCATCTGCCCATCCTTGGTCTTCAACAAAATCTAATAGATTACAAATTCTTTTAAGTCGAGTTTCGTTTAAAAACCTCAGTGCATCCTCGGCGTAATTTATTTTCAAAGAGCTTCGCGTTAGGTTCTGAATGTGTGTAAACACCTTGTCCTTCAGGATTTTACTTGTTCCAATTATTCTGTCGATTGACTGGTTAATCAAAGCAAAATTGTTAGAATTTAGGTAAGACGCCTCCCGACTTATTATCGTATTCATTTCCTTTTCCCTTGATTTTAGGTAGAATTCCACAGTTAAAGGGAACAAAATTTCCAACATAATATGCTCAAATTTTCTGGAATCATGATAACCTGAATTACGCCCAAACAGAGGAGGACCAGTGATCACAGTTTTCTGGAGATTGAAACTTAAACCGTCATATTTGTTGTTGGCTCTGTCTATGCTCTGGTTCAGGGACTTCCAGCGTTCTAGAAGACTACCGTTTAGCATATCGGTGGTTTTGCTCTCATCGCAATAAAAGTTCCTTAAACGACTTTCGATGTGTAGAAGACTTGACGTCATCGATGAATTTATACCTCTTAATGCGGCATCTGTTGGTTTCTGTGCACTCCAGTGGTAAGTTTCGGAATTTTTTTTCTTGGTTAAAGTCAACGGTAGAACTATTTTATCACGAGATTGCTTTGACATGCGATCCTCAAACTGGAGCAGATCGACGTAAATTGTATCTCGGTGGGTCAAAGTAAACTTTACTGCAGAAATGGATCTTTTCTTACGTTCACTTCTTTTTACAAACTCAGAAAACGCAACCCATATTGCTCTCCAGCCTCTAAATCCTAACTGCACAGAAAATGCGCCAAGCTCAACCCCGGCGTCTTGAAATTCAACAATCATCTGTCTGCCAAGAGAGGAAACTTTCTTGTAAATCCACATCTTAATACCTCCGCGTAGAAATTTTGAGCCAGTAATGCTGATGGGTAATGTATAAGAAATACTTGTGTTCTTCGTGTCAAATGATTCCCATTTAAGAGAACAAATTCCGTGTTTGGCTATGTCAGAAGATAGTGACACCCTGGCATTGGACCCAGTGGTTGCTTTCACGAAACAACGTGCTTGAGTGTCATTTTCAAAATCAAGAGTTTTGTCACATTTTTGGTGTCCTGAAGACACTGAATGCTGACCACATTGACCTGTAAAGAACAGAAATTAATCATTAACTTAATTAACTATAAATTTCTCTTGACTATGAAATTGACTTTTACCAATATTTTGCTTACTAAGGTAACATGGCAAACCACCAGCTTTTGATTTAACTTTCCCTATGGAAGGGTATCCAACGCTTCCTATTAAAAAGCTCAACAGAGAAAGATGGGGAATTAGTAAACAAATTGGAACATGCTGTCCGCTTCTTGAATTTTAGGGAGAGTCGCAATTGCAAAGCAGAACAGAAGTCTTTACCGTCTTCCTCGGGGGACCATTAGAAAACAAGTTAGCGGCTTTCGAAGAAGAAGTAAGAAAACGAGATAATTATGAACAAGGGACAACATTTTCCCTAAGACAAAAAGGCTCATACCCCCAAAAAAAAAAAACTTTTTACCACGAGCCGAATACGGGCTCCTGCTTTTACTTATTTTATTATATTTTATAAGTTATAAATTCTCATACCCCCTCCCCCCACCCCCCAAAAAACCACTTTATTTCTCAAAGCATATTGAGATGAATGGTATTCATCGTATACCATAATGTAACAATGTTTTACCATTCCAAAATTTGTATACTGTGGTCAAAGAGTATCACATTGGTGACAGTACGCGTTTTCCCTGCGACGTCGGGTAATTTGGAAGGCTTACTCACTTTTAATAGGACAAAAAGCTCCGCGGCAACACAGTTTGTTACAGAGAGAGGGTAAGGTTTGTTTTCCTGAACTCCGTTTTTATCTACGCGTTGCCAGAAAAGGTCAATGTTATTTCGATTCATTCCCGATAAAATGGCCTCGACCTGTTTATCTTTGCTGAAAAAAGTCTCTCGGGAGCAGAATGTCAGAAATATTTGAGGCACGAATTACGTAAAACATCGTCATCCTTTAAGTCAGACTTAGGGGAAAAATTTCGAAAAACCTTGAATGATTACAAAAAGCTTCGTGACTGAAAAAGAAAATAATTTTAGAAGGAAGTAATTCATCTCGACCAACTGACATTGAATCCACACAAAGCATCGTTTTAGAGTTGCGTAAAATCGATGAACGATACTAAGAACGGAAATGTTCCTTCCCCTACCTCGAAAGAAAAAATGGCTCGACCATTTTCAATCCTTAGATCACAATGGCCCGAGAGTTTTGATACATCAACAACAATTTTACAATGAACTACGACCATTAAAAAAAAAGCTTAACGTGAGATAACTGAGCAAGAAATACGTCAAGTGGTTAAGAAATTGAAGAATTACAAATCGTCATTTGTTGACAAAATAAGGCATGAAAGGATCAAAGCAGCCCTTGAATCTCTTATACCTCTGGAAATTTACCACATGCTTGGGTTCAATTCCTTATAACTCTTATCCACAGAACAGGTGAAAAGACTTATCCAAGAAATTAAAAAAGTATTTGCGTATCTAGTTCCCTTAGCTGGACGAATGGTTTTGCTCCACTTTATAAATCAAATACCATACTTGTTCGTTAAAGAAAATAATGTTACAGAATTCCCAAATTGGCTTCATGCCTCAAAACCGCACTGCAGACCATACTTTCACTATAAGGACTCTAACAGATAACTAAGTCCCCTGCCAAAAGGAAAACGTCCATGCTTGTTTCGTAGATTCTCGTAAAGCTTTTGGTTCTGTTTGGCACGAGGGATCGTTTCATAAACTGTTCAAAATGGACATAAGAGGACATTTCTGCAATCTAATAAGAGTTCTCTATAGCAATTTCACAGGTCCATCAGAATCCAGAAAACAAAAATCGATCTCATACTCAAAAGGTCTGCGCCAAGGATGTATTTTAAGCCGCCTGTTATTTAACCTATATATAAACACTGATATTAATATTATAAGAATAAACCATAAGAGGACACAGAAAAAATCTGAGCCCCAGATGGGATTCGAACCCACGACCCTCCGTGTTCTAGATCGGATGCTCTGACCTCTGAGCTACTGAGGACTCGTTGGCGAGCAAGGGTCATTTTTGTGGGTTGGACTTGCGAACCGCATCTCGCAGTCACACAGTCCATCACAAGCAACACATTAAGGCTTAACTGTATCACACAGTCACATTATTTGCAAGAAATGCCTCACTCATGAAGGAGCCTCCAGCCAACCAACCTATGCCACTGATATTAATATTATAAAGGAAATAAAGGGAGATGTAAAGAATCAACCATAAGAGGACACAGAAAAAATCTGAGCCCCAGATGGGATTCGAACCCACGACCCTCCGTGTTCTACATCGGATGCTCTGACCTCTGAGCTACTGAGGACTGAGCTACTGAGGCTCCTTCATGAGTGAGGCATTTCGTGCTATTAATGTGACTGTGTGATACAGTTAAGCCTTAATGTGTTGCTTGTGATGGACTGTGTGACTGCGAGATGCGGTTCGCAAGTCCAACCCACAAAAATGACCCTTGCTCGCCAACGAGTCCTCAGTAGCTCAGAGGTCAGCTCGATCTAAAACACGGAGGGTCGTGGGTTCGAATCCCATCTGGGGCTCAGATTTTTTCTGTGTCCTCTTATGGTTGATTCTTTACATCTCCATCTCCCTTTATTTCCTTTATAATATATATAAACAACTTGCCGTATACCGGTATATTCGAAAAAGCAATATCTCTTTGATCTCTTTGTTTTTCCAAATAGAACAAAAATAAATTCACTGTTGTATGAAGATCAATAAATTGCCCTAACGATTACAAAACTGTTTACACACGCTCTACTCATATTGCGAAACCTGGAAGTTAAAAATCAATCCGAATGATATTCCAAAAACGCCCGCGGAAATCTGTCGTCATCAACTTCAACATATGCAACAGGCACATTGAAATTGTTGAAAAATACAACTTTTTAGGTGCAAGTTTAGCTCCAACAGGAAACTCCTCCACTCGCACACATAAAAGAAACAGACCAGCTCACCTTTCCTAGTACACAAAATAAAAAAAATGTCCCCAAGTCCACCCGAAATGGGCCTATAAAAATTTCCAGGAGTGGCGAATTGCGAGGTCCAACAATGATCCAGGTTTAGAGAGCCGCTCCTTTGTAATTGACAAAGAAAGAGTTCAGAGTTTAGACACAAATACGGTCAACATGACTGCAGTCATGTGTATGACTGAAAAAGTTTGTTCGGAAGGTTTGCAAACCAAATGAAGACACATTCCCTCCTCCAACTCCGTGTAGTCTTGGTTGTTTCCTGCAACGCCATCTGCCAGACGGCAAGAATAGTGCAGCGATTTCGTTACCTGGCAAGAATATGAAGGAAGGTAAGAACTGCTTACAACTTGTGACAGTTTTTCAATCGTCTTCTTATTTGTCAATACGTTAGTTTTGGGTTCAATACGAAAAAAAGAAAAAACAATGTTTGCCAGATTTAAACTCCCGACTTTGTTCCCTTTTTCGACGGGCTCTTAAAGCTGAAGATGTGGCGAAAGAGGCGGAGATAGCTGAAAGGAATGAAGTGGAGAGGAAGGTGAGATACTGATGTGAGAGAAGGATGTTAAACAGCTAAGTCATGGCTGTCCACTGTTTATTTTTACAAAGGAATGTTGTTTGCACTACGGTCAAAAGAACTTAAAAACTGAAGGTTTAAGTAACTTTCGTACTTATTGTCTATACCCTATGACGAAAGTGCTTCAAAACCCCACCATGATTTCTTAACGCATTTATAGCACATGCACAATCCGCGAGATGTAAGACATGCTTGCTGTCTCGGTAAAAATCCTAATCACATTCCATACCTTGTAAATTGCAACTCTAAGTACATGGAAAAGATAAAGTATTTGGGGGAGAAACGAGAGGCTTTTACTTTTGGCCTAACCTAACTTTTTTAGGATCATGATATGCCGATTGGTACTAATACTCTTTAAAAAATGCTTCTTGATTTATGCGAGGGTGCACAAGTAAGTCGTAAAAGATCCACTGCTTAGCAGTTACTTCCATTAGCTGAATGTTTCGATCAAATGTAGAGGAAACGATGATCAGGAGCGTTCTAGACATTGGTCAAATGCACTGTTTGCTAACGAGAAGACAAGTGAGGAGTAGAAAAAGAATATAAGCAAAGTGTTGGGGCCAAACGTTGACAAACAAAATCAAGACATAGGTAACACGGATTTTATGTTTCGGTCATTAAACCGAGTATTTTTAGTATCTTCAGTTTGTTGACTATACGCCTTACGAATTTTAGATAGTTTTTGACAAGTTACAAGTTTCTACTAGTTTGTTGGCTTTTCAAAATAAATCAAAATGTCGATTTAACCAGGCCCAAAAGGAAAGCGTCCGTTTATAAACTTTACACAAAAAACTTTAGCATGACAAAGAATTCAGAAAATATATGCTTAACTCTTAAAGCCTTCTATTTTATTGAAGAGGGGTTGGGGGATTTTAAGAAAAACACACACCAAAACGAAAAACATCTTCCACCAAGCTAAATACCTTACAGCAAAAAACAAAATCATTATGAATCAAGTTCGATCGCAATAAAAGGTTTAGAAAAGAACTCTTGCCCAAAGCACATTACCTCACGATACTCTTTGATGGCGCCAATTTACAGGTTACTATTTCTGGGGTCGATCGTTTCGTCTAAAGGGAAGTCCGGTTTCTGCGTTCGCCTTAAGCTTACGTTTGCTTATCGGGCCCGGACGAACCGTTGAGTGTAAATCAGCCCGAGCATTTATACATCGCAATATCTAATATGAAAATAACCTTTACCCGAAAGGTATTGTTCTTTCACTTTCGGGATAGACCAAGGACAATAAGTAACTTACTTGTATTTAATTTCCCCGCATAAATAACCATATCATTTAGTTTACACAAACTGCACGGTACGTGTTCTGCAGGCCTTTCACAGAGAAATGTGCGCCAGAGTTACACTATAAATTGAAGAGTTACGACAACTTCAAACTTTTTCTAAGAAGGCGAACTCAGGAACGCAAAGCAGCGAGTCTGTCGATAAAATA